AATGAAGCAACTTTGAAATTTTGCTTTGAACTTACCTCATGATACAGGGTGTGGGAGAGAATCCGGAGGGTACTCAAGGAAGGAGAAACCTGGGCCCTTTGCTTGACAACCTCAGATGGAACCCGTATGAGGCACGCAACCTGCGAAAAAACCCATACGTTCAGACAGCAATTCCTTTTGCTGCCTTACTGTTCATATAGCAGACACATTTGGAGATTATTCCAAGTACAGAAACCTGAAAAACAAGGAAATAATTTTTGAAATTATACGAGATCAACTTAAAAGCTGTCTACGAGCAGCTTATGTGTTTGCTCCAAGAGCTGTTTACCTTCTGAACACAAATAGGTATTAACAGAAAAGTGGAAGTACCCTTGACACTTTTAACTTCCAAACCAGAAGTAGATTTGGGTGGGGAAAATCATCGATAAACCAGAAGTTTGAAGCCATCCTGTCTTTTGGCAGCCACAGGAATTCTTCCCCCTGGCTTTCACAGATCTTAACTGGAGATTCAGGACTTGAAGAACAAACTTCTTTCCTAGGTAGCTCCTTCGTGCCCTCTAGTGACTGACAGCAAGAGACACTCCAGTTAGCTCGAGATGCACACAATACATCCAAGGTTTACCTTAAATCACACACTGGATTTCATTCAAATTGAAGCATCAGATTGATTCTTTCCTACACAATGAATATACTGGGCAAGAAAAGCCCCTGCAGCTGGATGTAATAATGTGGCCACCACCACAAAGGTCCAGTTTTTCTGAAAAAGCCAGACCTGGCTTTAAAATATTCACCTGCCACTTCAGCTTCAGGTAGGAGTTAAGCTTGCGGGCACATAATTTTGAGGAACTAAGATCCTAAAGCGTCAGAGAGTTACAAGCCTCTCATCTCTCTAGAAAATGCCCGTTTATCAGCATTTAAAACTTTCAAGGAAAGTTTGTCTTCAGTTGGCCCCAGGGACACTTAAAGCAGTGCTGGGGCTGGTGGCAAAACCCTGGAGACGCCACAGGCCTTTGCCAGATTTTTAGCCTTGCTCGATCCCATCCTGCACTGGGCTCAGGATCACACTGTGGTTCTTAGATGTAAAGAGGATCTCTGAGCACTTCAGGAGAAGTTGTCCATCTGAACTGGCAAACCAAACTGCTAACTTGGAAACCCACACATGCCAAAGAAAGTTCAGGAATTCACTGCCAGATAGCACAGAGGCAGTAACTTGAGCGGTCACTTGTGGGTAACACAGTACAAGGTTTAAGTTCCATTTTCACAAAGAGACCAAGGAAAGGTCTGTTATCCTGTTACATTCCTATAAGTTTACCAGACAACAATATCCAAAAGTCATTACAAACAGATCTAACTCTATGTGCTCTTCAATTCTCAGGGTCAAAAATAACAAGTGACCCCAATCTGTCAAGAAAATAAGAACTGTCAAGTTTTTTGATAGTTCAGCATAAATATTTATAGAACTTCATGCTTCATAACACTCCATGTCCTTATATTAGCTTTTTATTCCTTAAAAATACGGAGGCAGGAGGGAAGCTTTAAAAAGGCTCGGATGAAAACAATCTAGTCAATCAAGACCAGACAAAGAGCCCAGCGTGGCTTCCTGACATCTGGGGTGCTGCAGTTTTGGCAGGAGAAGGGTGGCTACAAAGTAATGTCTCCATTTCCCCCGGACTACTTGGGGTGCATTTCATTTCAAATTAACTTTGATGTTTCTCCCATTTGAATTTGCGCTTACAAGGGAGTCTGTGGCTGCACAAGAACAAAACCAGTGATTACATTGTGCCGTTAGGAAAGGAAATAAAGGCTCGTGTCACCCGGGCTGCGCTGTCAGATTGGCTCCATAGGGCACCTGTGGTACTAAAAAAGCCACAAGCTGCAACTGCCAACACCAGACTGCATGGTGACATTTTCACTGTGCACCTGAACTTACAACATGTTACCTTCTTTGTTCCTACGTGTGTACCTTACCACCAATAACAATCCGAGCAGTCTTTTGATGTCAAACGCAGGTCTCTAAAGAGAAGTATGGAAGATTAAGTTCACGTGTATCTTATTAGCCCACAAGGTTTTAAAAAAACCCAACAACGAACAAACAACCTGGGACAGATGAGTGCAGAAAAATCTCAAATCTATTACGCTCAGATCTCAACCACTGCAGCGCCTTCCAGGTAATGCTGCCAAAGTTAAAAGAACACAACGCACTTCTCCACGCTTTGCTTTCTTAGCTAAATATGTTCAAGCAGCACCAGTAGAACACTGCACCAAGAGAATTCATACTTAAATTTTCAGACATCTGAAAGCTATAAGCAAATTGCACAAGCAATGGTGAAAGATATGTATACACACATATATGCTTTTACCTGCCCTAACTAGTAGATAAATAGACACAGAAGACAGACAATAACGTGACCTCACATGGTGGTAGCCCATTCACCTCCCTAATCACCAAGATCCCAGGAAGAGATTGCTTTTTAATCTCTGGGCTGTTCACTCAAGATGCAGCCTGTTGCTTGCTACAGAAGAGGACAACACAGCCTGCCAAGCTCAGGCCATTCCTGATGCATCTGTTTTGGGGTTGAGCCTGCGACAAATTAGCTCTGGCGAACATCTGCATAGCCAGCCATGGAGAGGGTACAGCAGTTGGCCCTCCGCTACCTCGGCCAACATCAGGGCACCACACAACAGCACTGCATTGACAAGGGCCACGCTCATTTTTCCAAGCAAGCTCTGGAGCCAGGATTTATTCCCATCTTTTGATGGAAACAGAAAGACAGATTCAAGATCCTACAGACCAAGTTCAGGGGAAAAATAGGTGCTCCCCTAGAAGCTTCTTTCTTATTTACCAGGTCAGACTCTCTCCCCATATCAATGCACATGTATACATACCATAAGGGCAGGAAGATAATAACACTGAATCAAAGGCTCAAGGATTTCTAGATTTAAGCTTTAACAAAACCTGATTTTACAGCTACAAGCAAAGCTATTATTAGTTTACAGAGCAGGTATGCAGAAAAGACAACATTAGCATCTATTACCTTTCTATCCTTGTAATACTATAACCACTTCTGAACAAAAGCGTACCGAATTTCAAAATCCTTGTCTTAAATCATTACCAGGTCAAAGGGTGACTCCAATATTTAGATGCAAACCTAAGCGCATTTTTAATTTACTGACTTGCATTAGCCACCTAGGGACAAACAGGATTATTTTGTTAACATTTATCTATGTATTAGTAAGACAGTATATCTTCTAATTAAATTAAGGTAGTTTTTTTCCTCTGTCAGTTCAGGGAAAAGTGTTTTAACTTTTGGCTACTCCTTGCACGCATCAATGCTGCCATCTCCTGGTCGGTTCACATCGGAACCAGACTTTCCCGGTTCTGACCGATACCTCGACTGATTGTGAAGACTGCCCAGTGCAACTAAACTCTCAGAAGTGCCTTGAACGCAAAGCCTCTTTATACATACTGATTTAAGCAGGTTCTTTTCAGTCTATCTGAAACCTGTTCCTATGCGCCTGTAGCTAACAGAAAATAAGATCTGCTGCAAACAGCACCAGGAACCAGCACAAAGCCTTTTGCATGGGCTCACCCAAGTTTATTGGAAACACCTTACCTCAAAGCACTAACTTCTGCCTAGGGGCCAATCCTACTTAAAGCTGGAGCAGCTGTTCAGAATTAGGCAGTACTCATCCAATTCATCAGCACAAGGCTGCTGAGCATTTTTCTCTAGACAGTAACACAAGACACATGATAAAAGGAACAAAGTGGGGCTAGCCCTGCTTGCAGAGGGGTTCGGTGCAAGTAGGTCACCCAGGCCTAGACGATTCATTAGCCAGGGAACTGCAAAAGCTGCAAGATATAAACAGTTTGCTGCTCATCCAGGGAAACCAGCAGCAAACGCAGCCTACCATGAAAATGGCTGAAGAAAACTCCCAACCAAGAGGGGTTTTTTTTGTGGGGTTTGGGTTTTTTGGGTTTTTTAAATGATTTTGTGGTTAATGTGACAAAGAATCTGAAGTAGCTGGTTGGACTAGAAAGAAGCCATTCCGTTGCTCCTGCACGTTCTGGAGTAAGCACTTATCTGCAAACTACCATGACCCCACTTCTAGTTCACGAGCAGGTCTTCGCTCCTCTATCCAGGATGTCCTGTTCTTTAGGCAAAGCCAGACATAAGACAATGACATCTTTAGAAAAGAGCACAACTCCTCCTGGCCTTCAGAGCTATATCATTATCCAAATATTAACATACCCCATACCAGCCTTTTGCTTCCATCCTTTGTGCTCCAGCCTAAGCATTTCCCCACCTGACTGGTTTTGTAGGATTTAGTAGAGAACCAAAGATACCATGTGCATTTGTTTTTAGGCACCTATTCTGCAGTTTGACCACCAGCCTTGCAAGCGTGATCTGTGCATGAGACATACCCAGAAACATTTGAAACAGGACAGAGCAGGTGTTACAGTTGCTATTAAGGGCTTACACTGGGTATTTAATTGGCTTCATACGTGGCAGGTTTTTCTCAGAACTGGGGACACAGCTGGTACAACACTATTAGCAGCTTTGTACCTCTAAGGAGAGCAGCTTGAGAAAGCATTTCCGTATGCAGCCTGGCATGCACCTTGCACAGCTGATGATCTGACTCACAGTCTTAAAAGCTCCCACAACCATACGGTCTGAGCACTCCTCTTCAGTAAGAGACAGATATGACCTGTGCTTTTAAGACAGACTATTGAAGGGCAAAGACTAAGAGGCCGCTCTGTTAAGATGCTGGCATCTGATGCGCTCCTGGCTAATGAGCGGGTCTGTTCTCTGCACTAACTTGGGCTTGGGTGAGGAAAAGGAGCAAATTTTTTTCCACTTAGTAATTAGCCAGCCATTCTGCCACAAGGCAGGAGTAGAGTATCTGAGGACAGAGAACTGTTCTGGAATATCTTGGTGGCTGGTGATTTAGGGACATGCACTCAGTGACTACAAGCAAACCTCTGGCTTGCATAGCTAAACCTACCTTGAAAACTGGGTACCCAAATATGCAGCAAAATCCAGAAAACTTTTCTGCTTTGCAGCTTTAAACCCTTTAGAACACTTTCTAAAGGATTTTAATTTTAAATTTCCCAAGCAGGAGGTTAGTTTTAATGACTTTG